ATCTATGATTGCAGTTTTTCCTTTTTTTTAATAGGAGCTGGACTAGTTACTGTTGGGGGCAAGGGGGGCTGGACTTGGAACTTTGACTTGTAACGTGGGCTTGGGATAGTAGTCTAGTATTGGTCTTGGGCTATTAATAAGGTATTGGACTTGGGTTAAAAGGCTTCAGAAGGTATGGGCTTATTATGGGCTCACTGGTTCTGGGGTAACAGGGTGTGGTTTGGTGAACGTGATCTTGGACTAGGTCAAGTATTTCTAAATAAAATGGATTGCGTTGTCCAACTTTGGTAATTAAAAAAAAGAAAAAGAAAAAAGAGGTTTGGAAGTCTTCTGCCTTGTCGAAAGTAAGTCTTCAAACCCTAGTTTCACAAACACAGGTGAAACAGACGGCGGCTACGTGGGATAGCAATTTCAGTGGTAGTCACTACGAGAAATCTGAGCAAATCCGGAAAACTTAAACAACAATGGCAGCAGCAACGGAGTTTTTTTTTTTGTTTTTTTTTTTGAATGGTGATTATGGTGATGATGCACATAGATAATGAAGAGTGGAAGATGATGAAGTTATTGGAGCAGTGATGATTTATGGCACCGATGAGCAGCGAAGATGTGGGTGGAGACAAAGGTGATGAACAGTGGTAGTGACGATGAAACAAGAGGATGTTGGGGCAGCAAAAAATAAGAAGCTCCGATACCAATTTGATGTAGATTAAGAAGGGGAAAAATTAGGGCATGAGAAGAGAAGAAGCAGCGGATGAAAAAATCATAAAAAATAGAAGGGAACATGGGGAGCAAGCAATATCAATATTCAATAATAATCGAAGTCTATCAAAAACAAATACCATATCCCCTACGTCTACTATAACAAAAAAAATCGATTCTAATCAATAAGAGTCAACAAATAATATGCAAGACCCAAAAATTTGACAAACAGTCAGAAGTCCACGAGCAAATATCAAGCTGGTGAACCTCATGTGATGGTTTGCATCTTCTATTCTTTCTTAATTTTGGTAAATTTGCTCTTCAAATGAAACAATGAAATGACATTATTGAGAAAAGGGAACACAAAAACTAGGAAATTCTGAAAGAAAAAAACCTGCCACAGAGGATGGTCCTTCGTATGGATGCCTGTGATCATCTTCACATTGGCTTTGCAAAAGAAAAAGAAATCATTTACACAATTACACAACTAAGCACTGTCATTCTAGAGGAAATCATAATATAAGCAACAAACCATAATTTACCTGCAAATTTTATGTAGGCTTTTAAACAGTAAAATGCATCAACGGTCCCTGAGTTTACCAATTGTAGAACTTTAGTACCTAAAGTTCAATTTTTTTCAATCTAGTCCTCAAAGTTCGTACATTGGACCAATGTAGTCCCTCGCACTAACTGTTGTGGCATGTGATTAGTACTAAGGGTAGTTACGTCATTACTCACGACTCCTACATCCCAACACCATGTGAGAGCCAATACCAGATTTTAAGTAAAGCATAGCTCAGAATTAGAATCATATGGGAGGCTGGTAAATTTAATGTTTTCTTAAATTTAGAAACCAATTGGAAATACAGCAAGATTCAAGATAGAGATTGAGATTGAACAAAAACGTTTTAACATTCTTTTTGAAGTTTTACATGGAGAGTTGATTTGCATAACAGAATGTAATCAATTTGGACCATTCTCATGCCCGTTGAATAAAGATTGCATGAGATGGTTGAAGGAAATAAGTTTTTCTGCTTTGGGTTGAAATAGAAGGGATGTACTTTTCAAGAAATTTAGGAAGAATGGAAATTGAATGTGGATTGAACTAGAGAGTAGTAGGTTTGGAGAGTATGCCAGGGTTACTTAGATGATGAACAATGGAAGAAGGAAAGGCTAATTATTCCCAAAGGTGTTGATGTAAGGGGATGGGAGGCTTTCAGACAATTGTTGGAGGATGCTTTTCACGATGGAAGATATCCTTTGACAAAGGAGAAGGAAAATAGGGGGTGTGCAGATGTTCTTAAATCCAAAAATTTCAGGAAGAAAAAATAGGGGATGAGCAAAGGTTCTCAAATCTAAAAACTCTAATAGATTTATAGGGATGAAGTATTTTATTTTTATTTTTATTTTTTTATATAAGAATAATTTTATTATAGAAAGGAATAAGAACATAATACAATGTAGAGGATAAGATATCCCCAGAGAATGAGTAAAGCAAATATAACATGGGACAAAATGCCAACAAAAGGAGATAATAAAACTAAAGTAAAGCCGCCAACCAATTCCTTTGAAGATCCAACAAAGGTAACCTCTAAAACTTCTTGTGGCTTTGGTCCAAAGTGAAATTGTTCCCATACTAATTCAGAAGGTAGAGAAGATTATTGAAAATTCTAGCATCTCTCTATCTAAATACACTAAAAAATTATCATGAACTCACAATACCATAGTACTTTGACTGATTTTTTCTTTCCAAAACCCTAATACTTAATCTACAACATCTGCTCCACTGTACAAGGGCAAAGTGTCTCCTAATCAACTTGAATAATGTATTCCACAAGCTCCATGCAAAACTACAGTGAATAAATAAATAAGCATTTCATTCTCCACTACTGTTTGGGTAAGACAAATAGAAGGAGTTACCAAAATTCACTATATCTTTGATGACCGATCTCGGTGTATCAACCCCAAATGGGGTGGGTTAGCGATCCAAATCGCCAAAATGTGAGACCCCAAATTGCAATACTAACCCTAGCTCGATTCTCTTTGGAACAAGTAACATAAATATAAAATTCATCTTAATTGACTACGTTTTTATAGATTTATAATTATATATTGTTTTAAATAGTAAAAAATTTTCTAGAAATGTAAGATATAATGTTGTATAGTAGTGAAAATAATCTAGATAAGAGTTCTAAAACGAATTGCGACCCAAAACACCGTACCAACTAAACTTTCCCCATCGTGTCGACTATCGCGTATTTAAAAAAGTGTCGTACCGCATAAGCGTACCTGTACCACACACCAAAGTGACTCACGATCCATGTAACATTGAGTAGGACTCAAAGCTTTATAGAACCTCCAAACCTACAACAAATCACTAGGGTTCACCTGATTAAGGACAACAGTTCAAACAAAAGTCTTAATTTTTTAAGGAACTTTGACTTTCTAAATAAATTTGGCCAAAGAGAAAAAAGCATTACTGATAGAGCTAACAAGATGTGAATATAAGGATTTGCATGAGAAACACTTGGATTTATCCACTACCTAGATTCTACTATCATGAGAAGAACAAGGTAGAAAGTCATTGCGAATATTAAGCAAAGAAATCAAATTAATTGCTTTTCTATCATTAAGATGCCTAAAGAAATGAAAATCCAAGAATATAAGCACATCCCCATGATGATAAAAGAGGATCTAAGAGCCTCATCGAGTGAGGATAAACGATAAAGACGGGGAAAGATATTATGAAAAGATGAGTCCCTAATCCATGTATCCCAAAATAGAACTTTGGATCCATCTCCAACTCTATATCAAGTCAAAGGAAGAAAAGAAATGTAAATGTATAAAATGAATTTCCATGGACTCAAATGAGTTGTATTATGCCCTAACTTAGTATCTCACCCATTCCTCTTAGGGCCATACTTACTCCTAATTACCTTATGCCAAAAAAGAGGTCTAACGGGAACTTCCGTAACCATTTTCCTATAAGGGAATGAAGTATTTTTAAAAGAAGAAAAATGGAGATGTGTTGTGGTATGTGTTAGGATAGTTTATTAGTGCCTTGGCATGATATTCAGAACTACTTGATTAAGGCTTTGAAGATGAACATATATCTGAGACCTTTTCAAGCGGATAAAGCAATGCTCTTCTGTTAAGATAGACTGCAGGTAAAGAGGGTCTAGAAGACTGAAACAAATTATATGGTCGGATTTAGTACAGTGAAGATTCAATGGTGGTGTCATGAGTCCAATGCTGTTAAAAGTCAAGTGTCGTTTTTGTGAGGGTGGATAACATTTGATGAGTTACCATTCCATTTGTGGCAAGAGAATTGGAGATTATTGTAGGGGGGTTTATAAATATTGATTGGCAAACTGAAAATCTCGAAAATTTGTTCGAGGCTCGAATTCACATTCACAAGCCTAAATCAAGTCTACTCAATAAATCTTTCAAGGTTGAGTCTAATGGAAAATCATTCACTATTAGGGTAAAGGTTTTCTCGAATTTAGCCTAAGTCGCGATGAGAGACAAGGGTTATAGGGTTGGTAGTACAAAAATTTTGTGTTATGGGCAAGAGGTTGAAGACAATTCGAAAAGGCTGGGAGGATTACGTGGTAGTAGAAAAGAGTGGGGTGTTGTGGAGTTTGGTGCACTAAGAGGGAAATAGGTTTGGTGTTGGTTGAGAATATATCTAATGACAAAATTATTGTCCCTAATCTTGTTGTTTACCGAGAAAAGGGGATCATGCAGGATTTTAAATTTTGAAAATGGTTTGAAGTTGGAAACTGGCGTAATTAAGACTAATTTATTGGAGTTAAATTGGAATATGAGTCGAATAGATATAGGCTTCTCAAAAAAGAATTATGTAAGATTGGAAAAAGGGCTGAGAGAGTTTCTGGGCCAACTAGGCTAAAGTTGGTGGAAAAAGGTAATGGGTCGGAAAAGGTGGGCCCTCTTAAAATAAACAAAAAATCTGGTGGAGTTTAAAAAAAAGGAATTTGGCCCCAAACCCTTTTTCTGTCTGTCTGACATCGATGAAGTCATCTAAGGCAATTATCTAATGTCGATCTGACAGCGACATTGATGCTCCAGTCACAAACAAATCATGTGGAGGCCTTTCAGAAGACAATGAAGGGCGAGGAAAGATGGGTAGTGGGGAGGACAATGTTGGAGGAAGGTAGGATACTATGACAGTCTGAAAGAAGATTTGAAGTGAGATGTCGAAGTATGGATAAAGATTTGCACGGGAAGCTGGCACTCGAGGTGTAGGAAGGCTAGTGTGATGCTCTGAATGTTGTGGTGGAATGGATGGAAGTGTGGATACACGAAGCAGCTCAAAAGCTTCGCTATTGCAAAGTGATATAGGTAACAAAATGGGGGTAACGGATGATAAAGTTTATGGTGATGTTGCAAGATTTTTCTTTACGGACGAAATAAACGACGATCAAGTTGAAGCTTATAATACCCAAAATAAAGTATGTGAAGCAATTTCTAATGCACTTTAGAGGACAAAAAAAAACCCAAAAATCTTCAGTGATGGTTTCCTCTGTTGGGTTTGTATCTTCTAGGGAAGGGGAAGGTTGGGGAGAAGGGTTGGGCGGTGCCTGATAATAATGGACCCTACTAATTCTGGTTGGTCCTATTTCAGCCCCATTAGTTTGTCCACAAAATGGTGCCAACGATCATAGGTTTAGTATTGATAAAATGTGTTACGTCGTTAATCTTGATTCAGGGAACTTATCCTATGACAACTAGGGCTAGTATGGGTTATGAGGAAGAAGGGAATGGGGATAGGATAGAGTTAGATAGTGGGAGACAAGGATCCCAATGACTGCTTCATGTCTGACGAGGAGAAATGGTTGCACCTAAGAAAAAACCAAAGCATAAGGAGGCATGAAGTGAAAGGAAGAGGACGGGCAGGGATTGTAAGCAGATTAGAGAGGGAACTATTGTCTGTTATGAAAATTGTTAGTTAAAACATCGAAGGGTTAGGGTCGTGGAGGAAGAGATGCTCCATTAGGGAGTTTTTGGGAAAGATTGGGCAAGATGTTGTAGTTTTACAAGAAACCAAGTTGAAAGTTATTGAAAGGAGAGTCATTAGTAGCATGGGGGGGGTCTCAATATAGGAATGGGGCTTTTCTACCATCTGTGGGGAGTTCAGGTGGTGTTCTCATTATTTGGGATGAGAGGTTGGTTATTCTGAAAGAATCACTTGAGGAGGAATTTACTATGTCAGGAAGAATTAAACATAGAAATGATTTTGATTAGTGGCTCACTGGTTTTATGAGACTAGTTCTAGGTAGTGCATTGGGGGAGATTTTAATGTAATTAGGTATCTGACGAAGAAACAAAATTGGGGGAGGTTAACAAAAAGTACTAGGAAAACTAAACTTAGGGTTTCTCTTTCAACTAATGGTGTGTCTACATGGTCAATTTTAGGAGTAAGGTGGTATGTAAAAGGTTGAATAGATTCTTGTTTTTCGTTGGATGGAACGATTGTGTTCCAGGGGTTAGACAAGAAACATTGTCTACAGTGATTTCATAACATTGTCCCACTATTCTTACAGATTCTAAGTTTATATGGGGCCCTCATCCATTTAAGTTTGAAATATGTGGGTAGAACATAGAGACTCTAGAGGGAGAATTAGAAGTTGGTGGGAGGAGAGAGGGATCCAAAGGTAAGAAGGATTTAGATTTATGAAGAAACTTGAGTTTTTAAAACAAAAGTTGAAGGCGTGGAATAAGGAGGTGTTTGGGGATGTTCGTGAAGCAAAAATACTCATTTTGGAAATGATTGATGAAATATAAAAAATTGGAGGAAGGGAAAAGGATGAAGGGTTGAAGAGATAAAGAAGAGAACTTAGGAATAAATTTGAGCAGAAAGTGTTTAAAAAAGATATTTGCTTAAGACAGAAATCAAAGATTAATTGGATGAAAAAAGGGAATAATAACAATTTTTCCACAAAGTGGCAAATGGTAATAGGGTCATTAATGGAGGATCAAGATATCATTGAGGGGGGGATCATTAGTGTTTTTTATAGAGTATACTCGGATCATGGAGGTCCTAGACCTACTGTGAGAGGTCTTGATATATTACAGGAATAAAGACTTGTTACTTCGGAGTTATTTGCTTTAGTCTAATGCCGAAGCAAAAAATGGGTTTTTGCTTCGATTAGGAAAGCTGAAACAAAAAATGGAATATTTGCGTCAGCAATAGACGAAAAGCAAAAAAATTTGAATCAAATATTCAAATTTTTTTACTTCGGTATTCATACTCTATATTTTGAGTCAACATAATCTATCGAAACAAAAAATAAGAGTATTTGCTTTGACATTTAGCCAAAACAAAAACTTAAATTCAAAACGACGTAACTTTATGTTACTTTGTCACAAAAACGATGTCATTTAAAACCCTAAACAATTTTGGCTTCGACACTAAGACCTTTTTGCTTCGACTCTTAGATGAAGCAAAAAGCCCTTTTTTCTTGTAATGATAGTTACCAAAATTCACTAAACCCCTGATGACCCATAATTGAGGTACATCGATCCCAAACGAGGTTGGTTCACGATCTAAATTACCAAAAGCACAAATATAAAGTGCATATTAATTAACTATGTGTATATAGATTTATAATTATATATTATTTTAAATAATAAAAAATCGAGCACAAATGTAAAATAAATAGTAATTGACTTAGTGTTTATAGATGTTCTATGATATATAATGTTGTATAATCATGAAATCGATCTGCATAAGAATTGCGATCCAAAATACTGTACCAGCTAAGCCTAACCCTATCATCCTGCGTACCTAAAAAAGTGTCGTACTGCATACTCATACCTATATGAAGTACCAAAGTAGCCCGCGATCCAGGTAACATTTAGTGCTCAATTGATGGAAAGAGTGCAAGTTGGATGGAGAGATCTTTTGAGATGGAGGAAATAAAATACAATTGTTTTTTAGTATAGTAGAGAAAAGGCCAATGGCCCAAATGAATTTACTATAACTATAAACCAGGTTTGTTGGGATGAGACGAAGGATGATTAGACGAGAGTGTTTAAGGATTTTCATAAGGGTGTAATTAATGGAGCTACAAATTTTACATTTATATAGCTTATCTCAAAAAAACTCAATTTAGGAGATTCAAGGACTTGAGGCTTATGTTTGGTTACAAATTTGTATAGGAATGTCAAACGTATTGTGTTTGTGTGACCCACATGTCGTGTTATTCGTGTCGTGTCATTGTTATTCGTGTCATGTTCATATCAAGACTCACGAAAATATATATATATTTAGTGTTTTCTGAGTATTAAACATTAGTCTAAACTATTTATTATGCATATTTAATAATCGTGTCAATTTTATAATCGTTCGTGTCGAGTTCGTATCAACGGGTCAGAGTTGACACCCCTAAATTTGTATAAGATTACTGGTAAGTTCTTTCTATTAGGCTTGGGGAGTGTTTGAGTGACACTATTTCTAGATGTCATGGGGCTTTGTATGGGGAAAAACAAATTATAGATGTAACACCTATAGCTAATGAAGTGGTTGAGGAGTACAAGGTAAAGAGAATAAGGGTTTTGTGTTAAAGATAGATTTTGGGAAAACATTTGACCATGTGGATTAGTGTTTCCTGGATTTGTGTTAGATGTGAGGAAATTTGGAGTAAGGTCGAGGAGATGGATTAGGGGTTATTTGGAGGCGGTGAATTTTTCAGTTATTATGAATGGCAACCAAGGAGCAGATTCAAGGCATATAGGGGGCTCAGACAAGGAGATCCTCTATCACCATTCTTGTTTATTTTGGTGGTGGATTGATTCAATAGCTTGATGGAAAGGGCTTAGAGTTGTAGTTTGGTCGATGGATTTGTGGTAAGGAGGAAAAGAATTAAAGAATCTCATTTAAAATTTGTAGATGATACTATATTCTTTTCTTTAGAGGAAGAACAGAAATTAATAAATTTAAAATTGATTATTGATGTTTTTGTGGTATCTCAAGGATTAAGGTTAAGATGGACAAAAACTATTATTGTGGGTAATACAAGACAACAGAAGGTGGATTGGGTGGTTATGGAGTTGGGATGTCCGGTGGGTGAGTGGACTCTAAAATACTTGGGACTCCCTTTGGACGATAATCAATTGTCTAGGACATTTTGGGATCTTCTTATTGAGAAAGTTGGGAGGAGATTAAACGGGTGAAATAAATCTTTTATTTCGAGGAGAAGGGGTAGACTAACATTGATCCAATCTGTCTTGTCTAGTATTCTGATATAATTCATGTCTCTTTTTAAAATTGAAAATTGAAGGTTTGATGTGAGATCTTTTATGGGATATGGTGGGAGAGGGTAGGAGGGACCCTTTGATTCATTAGGAGGTGGTAACTAGGCCAAAAGATAAGAGAGGACTTTCAATTGGGAATTTGGAGAAATGGATTATGGAATATAGCCTTAGTTTGGTGGCTAGGAAAATTGAAGGTTTGATGTGGGATCTTTTATGGGATATGGTGGGAGAGGGTAGGAGGGACCCTTTGATTCATTGGGAGGAGGAAACTAGGCCAAAAGATAAGAGAGGACTTTCAATTGGGAATTTGGAGAAATGGATTATGGAATATAGCTTTAGTTGGAAAATGGCTCTAGAGGTTCTCTTTCGAGCAAGATTTATTATAGCATGTTATTATTAGGAGCAGGAATGGTTACAGGATAATGGGGTTGAAAGGGGAACTTTTCAGAGTTTCATTGTGGAGGTTTATTTCTCAAAAGTTACCTTGCATTTCTCAAACTCAAGTTCATTGTAGGTACTGGAATTAGAGTACACTTTAGGAGGATATTTAGGTTGGGGAGTCTTCATTTTTTTTCTAGTTTCTTTCCATGTTTGTATCGTTTCTCTTATTATAAGGGTACTTGGGTTGCATCTACGGTTCGATCATATTCTAATCTAATTTCTTGGGATTTTGATTTTTGTAGGAATCTTATTGATAGGAAATACTCAAAGTTGATGAGTTTTCTTTCCATGCTTAAAAATGTCACTTTGACTCAAAATTCTATGGATTGGCAAGACTAGGGATTCAAAAGACGTTTTTTCTTGTAAATTTTTCTCTGAGTCTCTAGTTAATGATTTTTTTATTGACCCAACCATCTTTGAAGAATTCGAAGGTTAAGGTTAAAGTATCTTTAAAGGTGCAAGTTTGTACATGGATAATGCTCATGTTAAGATTAGTACTAATGAGATTTTTCAAAAATGAGACCTCATTATTTCTTCAACTGTAATTGTGTGTCATGTATAGAGGTAATAATGAAAGTGTGGGTCACTTATTTTTGCATTGTCCTTTGGTGCGTGCATGATGGAATAAGCTTTTTATGTTTGTGGATCTCTATTAGATTGCTCCGAGGACCTTTTTATATGTTCTATTTGGATAACGTAGGGTATGGAGAAAATAATACATGGAATACCATTTGGCATTAGTGTTCTCTTTGGTACATTATGGGTGATTTGAAGGAAAGGGAGGCGTTGATTTTTTAGGATAAATGTGAAGAGTTTGAAGGTCTATGGGATAAACTTCATTTTTTAACTTCTTTCTGGGCTTCAACGTCTAAGGAGTTTGAAGATACTCCTCTTTTTTGTATTAAGACAAGCTAGAAAGAATCATGCAACTTATAGTTTTGATTACTCTTTTTTCATATTTTTATATTTTCATGACCTCTCATTGAATTCACTCCTTGTCCAATTTGATGTGGTTCTTGTAATGATTTCTATCTGATTATTAATAAATAATTGTTTCTTATAGAAAAAACTGGAATAGTTTTAGAGATTAGAAATGGGTTTGGAGTTGTT